CTTCTGCAAAGAATAATGGATGAATAATACTGTACAATCCGAGACTTACTTCTATTGAAAGCCTCAGCCTCCTAAACAATAATATTATTGCTTAAAAAAATGGTGTCAGCTTGCCTCAGTTGGTAGCACTCTCACTTTTGCCTTTCATTCAGAATGTTGTGGGTTCAAGGCCCACGTCGCATTCGCCTACAAAATAATACTAATAAAATAACAATCCTTACATTTGAGGAAGTTTCAAAGGCCTTTAGAGGATTTACTGCAAAGTGTAATTACTATTTTGTGAGCAATTAGGGTAGCCAATTTGTACACTCCATCACTGCACTGGATTGTCAGCCTAGACTATATGATTATATAAAGTGTATAAAGTGGGGCTTGAACCCACAACCTTTTAACTCAGAGATGTGAGTGCTAACAACTGAGCCTGACTAACCCTCTAAATATACAATCACTACACTTATATTTAATTCTGTGAAGTGCTTTAAGACGTCCTCGACATGAAAGGCAGTATAACGAATGCAAGGATTATTATTATTATTGATTCTAAATACTTGAATAAATATATCAATGCAAAAGTAATGCTATTTCTACTACAATGTAATTATTTTGGGACAACATTTGCATAAATAATTATTGAACTTGATCAGGAAGATAGGAATCTATTTTGCAATGTGATAAAATCATTTATTCAAAATCAAAATGCTGCTGTGGTTTATATCTTCAAGAGGAGATTTCTCTCAATATTGAAGGAATGTCTTTCATTACCTGATTTATTTGCTGTTCCTTGTGAATGTTTCTCAGCTGTTTTCTATTGTTCTATTATGACAACGTTATGCCATCTTATTTAAGCCACCTGGGTCACCAAGGCAATTTTTCTTCTGCGAAGAATTATGGATATATAATGTAACCATAGACTTGCTTCTATTTAAAGCCTCAGCCTCCTAAACAATAGTTTAATTCCTTAAGAAAATAATGTCTCAATTGTGACTTTACATAGAGATTATGAATCTCCATTGACATTACATAACCACAGTTTTACTGATTTCAAGGCAAAACAGTAATTAAATGAAGAGAGCAGTGATTAAAGAAACATGGGCACGAATGGGGTTCAGATTGCCATAAGTAACTAAACTAAATTGTAATCCGCAGTCTATTATGAAAAATATAGAATTTCCCTCACAGCAGCTGAGCCCCAGTGTGATGAATTTATCACCTAGGAATTATTTCACAAAGACAGAAGCAGTAAAGATAATGATATTATAGCATGACCATTTCCCATCCTTATTTAACATTACATTTATTTTTATGCATTATTTGTTGAAAAAGATGAAAAATAGATCTGAGGCTAGAATCATTACAGTAATGTTGTATTACTTGTGGTTGCATCTGTTCCACTACAATTATTAAAAAATAGAAAATAGAAAATCTGGCTGTGGAACTTATTTTATTAGTTGTCAATCTGGCTCAGTTGGTAGCACTCTCGTCTCTAAGTAAGAAGGTTGTGCATTGAAGCTTCACATCGAGACTTTGACCTCGCAGTCTACGCTGACAGGTCCAATACAGTGGGAAACGCTGCACTGTTGGAGGTACTGTCCTTCAGATTAGATGTTAAATCGAGGTCCAGTCTGACTGTCCAGGTGGACATTAAAGATCCCATGGCGCTAATCAGAAAGAGAAGGGAATTTCTTCCGGTGTCTTTATTGGTAATTCCTCAGATAAAATTGGACATTCACTTCACTAGTTGTGGGACTTAGGTGTGAGCAAAGTAGCTTCTATCTTTGTCTACAAAATACACAATCTCCCAGATTCCCAACGGATCAACTTCCAGGCTGTCACCTATGAATTCCTAGCACCTCCCTACCTTTGTGATCTCATACCACACTCTTCTGCTTGCCTCCTCTTAACACAATAATTTCCTGTCTTCTATCAATATACTCTATCCCCCTTGGCTAGATCTATTTTTGTCTATTGGCTCATCTCCACAATCTTTAAGCCATAGCTTTGAGACATCTAGAAGACGTAATAAGGCGCTTTATCAAATGTAAGGATTATTATTATTATATATAGCTCAGTTTTACAACAGATTCACATGAATGCCTTGATTTCTGAATGACTCCAAAAAATTGCAAAAAATAGCTTCTGTGCATTTGTAATTGATTCACACTCCATAAATATTCACTCCAATGCATATGTATTGCTGATAAGCAGGATTTCCTTTAGCTGAACTGGAGTTCTCAGTTTTGTTTGGAACTCACAAGCACTATGATGGATTTCTGTGTGTCAGACAACAGGGGGATTGAGGCCAACTAGTGAATGTACTGCTACCCAGACTGAGATCAGATAAGTCAACACAAACCAGGAGTGAAAGTGGATTTTTTCAGTTGTATGTCTGCTCCACATCTTGCAGAGACTGTAGTAACTAAGCCATTGAAGATGCTTATCCATGTTTTTCTTTTACTTTCTAGCTTGCCACTTCATCAGCCTCTATTAGTGTGCTTCTCTACCTGTTGGCAGAATCCCTGTGATCCATAGACCTATGTCAGCTTCCTGTCACTGATGAATGTTTCTGGCTCTACCCTGACATCACGTCAAACTAGACTAATGGCAAACCATACTGAGGTCTCTCTCTGCATGTCACATTAACTTTATCTCCACTTTTCTTATGAAAATAAATCTCTAAAACATATCTATTTATTCCTCTATTTTGCTCTCCTCTCATCTAATTTAGTTACTGTATTCCCCTTGTTCTTTACCTGTCTTTTATTCACCAGAACTGCATCCGGTAATTTTATTTTGACGTTTCATTTCTTTGTTAAACTGTTTTTCTGCCCAGTTCTTCCATCAAAGTGCCCCTCTTGTGGACTGTATGGATTTTGATCTAGTATGTCTATGTTAACACCATGATTTCCTGTCTTCTATCAATACACTCTTTTCCCCTCAATTGTATCTATTTTCGTCTCCTTGCTTCATTCTCAGTGAGAGATGTTTGGGTTCAAGCCCCAATTTGGAACTTTTAGCTCACATAACCTAGGCTGACACTCCAATGAAGTCCTGGAGGTGCCATCCTTTGGATGAGACATCAACGTTTCTCCCAGTGTCTTGGCCAATAATGCCCCTGTTAAATTGGCCATGCACTTCATGGCTGTTTGTGGGACATTGCTGTGTGAAAATTGGCTGCCCTGTTCACCCCCACAGTCCTGTTAATCCTGTGAAATGCTTTGATGTCCTTTCAATGTGAAAGACACTTTATGCAAGGATTATTTATCCCCATAATTTATAAATCATAGTTTGTCTTAATACCAAAATCACACAAATGCCACTACCTTAGTTTCTGGATAACTGAGCACTTCCACTAATAGTAACATCAAAGTATCACATAAATTTTACACTTTATCTGACTGTTTAAAAGTAAATAAAATATAGTCAATACATACAGTTCCATTGTGTCCACCTTTTAAAATTAATCCGTAAGTAATTTGTTACCATTACTATCGCATACTGTCACATAGCTTGATGCGTAGATGAGACTATTAGTATTGAAACCTTTTTGCCCCCTAAACTATTACTTGTATATACTGTATGTTTAAACATTATCCCTTTTATAATTGTCAGCAAAGATCCAGAATTGGCTAAATCAGTACAAACATTTTGAGGGGTAACTGTGGACTCAGAAGAGGCAGCAAAGGCCTTACAAAGGGAGGTTGAAAGTCGAAGACCATGGGCTGGTAACTGACAAATGAAGTTTATTACTGATAAATGCAAGATGCTACATATAGGATCCAAGGCTATGAAACACAAGTACTCCATGGATGAGATTGAATTTGCCAAGGGGGAACCTGAATGAGATCTAGAGGTGTTAGGTAACTTGTTGTTCACTATGTCAAAACAGTGCGAGGCAGCAATAAACAAGGCAAGTGGACCAAATTGCTAAATCAGTTGAATATAGACATTGGGCTGTTCAGTGCTCTGATCAGACTGCACCTGAAATACTGTTCCTAATCTCATTTTCCATCTTTTCTTCATGTAATTGATGCATTCAATATAAATAAAATCATTCAAAATACTTGAAGATAATTTCCATTGAGTGTTTTTATAGGCATACTCAGCAGCCAGTTTGCATGCAGTGAGATTCCACCAATAGCCATGATATGAGTGTCTAAATGATCTGGAGGATTGTTGACCTGAGCATTGTGAGAAACTTGCTTCTCTTCTTGAATCATATTGTGGGATATTTTACACATGAATAAGCAGATTGCAACAATATAGCACTCCCCTAGCATTGCACTGGAGTCTCAGTCTAGAGACTATGAGCTTAAGTGGAACTTGAACCCACAACCTTTTGCTCTAGATGTGAGAGTCCACTACTATCAACTGAGTTGCCACACAATGGCAGACAGTATGAATGCCCTTTCCCTCCCCCCAAAACATCAATAATAGATAGACTGCCTTTGGGAAGAGGAATGTTGATGTTCCATGTGGGAAAATATTGGGTGGTTGTTTTTTGTTGCATTCAGCAATATTTCAAGGCTGTTCATCAAAAAAAATTCTTCCTTCAGTTCAGGACACAGGAAGGAAGGACAAAGAAAGAAGGAGCGACATGGCATCATCATTTTGTTTTCACTAAATCAAAGTTAGACAGTAATCGATTTCTCCAGTCAACTTGTAATGTAAAACTTGGATTGTATACATTTTTTTAAAGTCAATGTCTTGTCAGAAATTGTTTCACTGTGGCAATAGGGACAATACGTAGTGGCATTCTGGAGAGTCTTTGCATTCAATAGCAAACGGAAAGCTTAATGACGTCAGCAGACTTATTCAGAAACAATGAGGGCTGCAAATTTATTGTAAACAAGCTAAGGCCTGCTGAAACCATGTTTAGATGTGTTTATTTCTCTTATCATGAATATGTTGCTATCGTTCAAGCTTCAGAGTGGATTAGCATTTTACAATGAAATTTAACAGTATGAGAGAACCCCTGTGAGCAAAAATAATGTAATGTTCACTATCATTGAAAAGGGTATTTTATTTAGACTGCTTTTGTGGAATTACAGCATGCAATACAGGACATTTTCCATTTACCAATCTTTGGGTTTTATACACAGCACCTTAAAGGGTATGGGTGAGGTTGCTTTTTAAAACACACCTTAATGATCAAGCAAAGCCTTAAACAGGATTGGATTACAACATGTATTCAAGTTAGTGTTGAGAACCTACCATTTTGTTTGGGTCACCAGCAAATACTTTAGTAACGGATAGAGAGAGTGTAGAGAAGATCAAATCAGATCAACTAGGGAGAAGTGGTTTGACCTATAATTAGAGACTAGAGGAAATGGGTCTATTTTCTCTGGAATAGAGAAGACTGAGGGGAGATGATAGCGGGTCTTTACCATTATGAAGGGTTTTGATAGAGGCATTTGGGAGAAATTATTTCCTATGCTCAGTGAGTCGGTGACTGGAGGGCATCAATTTAAGATAATTTGAAAAGGGGAAATTATGAGGATTTATTTTACACAAAGAATTGTTAAGATGTGGGGTGCAGTAGTGAAGCAAAATATATATTAGGTTTCAAGAGGGAACTAAATAGATATCAAAAAGAAGTAATCTGTAAGGTATCTGTGCTAAAGACAGGTAAATGGCACTAGATGGATTGCTCTTTTAAAGAGCAATGCTGATGATGACGGGAATATCTTCTTTTGTACTGATTGTTTCTATGTTGGTGAATTAGGACCTTGTATGTTTCTGTATGAAATACTCAAAAAGGGTAGACTAAAATCATACAATAAGCATTCATTACTTGCAGTGCAAGAGTGCTGAAAGAGACAAAAAAGATATTTAAATTCTAATTGTGAATAAGAGATATTGGCTACATAGTAAGTATGGAACAAATTGGTTCTTGGAATAAATGTGTTCATTTCAAAAACACTTAGAAATTGTATTGCATTACACTGACCAGTATTCCAAGTATCACAGTTAGTTTATAGAAGGAAAAGAGCAAGAAAATTAGATTAATAACAAAAAAGGTGATGATTTAGGTAGCAAAGGCAGGGACTCAATGTGCTCAAATGGCTTCCCCTAGTGCTGAAAATGACTATGACATTAATGGAAATCTTAGAACCAAGATTTCTGAAATGATTAAGGTTGCACTTATTAATTATTGAGAGAATGTTTTGAGATTGAGCTGTTGCGTCGCTCTTGCATAAATACTAAAACAGACTTCTGCCATCGATTATTCATTTGTGGGAGAAGTCACGCCACTGCAGCTGTTCAGGTAATGATAATGTGCGAAGGGAGACGTCTACAGATCACTTTCATCATCATCTGAAAAAGAACAGATTATGACATTATAGTTTTCTTAATGATAAAATGTTTGGATCATCTACTGTTCAGATACCCTTGCAACTGCTGAACACTGCACACATCAGAATACTAAAGAAAGAACTCGGAGTTTTGGAACACCGTACAATGTCCAAATGTCTCAAAGGCAATTGCTGTCAAGTGTAATGACTTTTTTTCAGGAAACCACAAAAATGTCCCACAAACAGCCATGAATGACCAATTAATTTGAAAGATTGTTGGTCAGGACAGCAAGCAAAACTCCCTTCTCTTTTCAAATAGTGTTATGGGATCTTTATCTGACATTGCAAAAATCCCCCAGTACTGCACAGCTTGTCAGCTTAGACTGTTAACTCAAGTCCTGATGTGGGGCTTCAATCTTCAATCATATGATCTGAAGGAGAGAGTGCCATCAATTGAGCCATCCTTTTGTGCCAGCCACACAGCTCTTTATGTGCATTCCAAATGAGAGATGCAATACAATTTACATTTATATAGAGCCTCGCATGTTGGGAGGACATCTCAAAGTGCTTCAATCACACTTCTACCCTTCTGCCATTAATTTTTTATGCCAAATAATATTAATTACCGAACATCCAAGTTGAAACAGTTGAAAGCAGCGATCATCATTTTCAGTCATTTTATAGACTTTCTAGCATAATGTATTGTAGAGGAATCCTCTTCATTTTTCTTTGTTAAGCGAGTGATGCTAAGCAAAGAGAGCTTTTCACTTTGGACGTTCAGTATGGGCAGGCAGTGTCAGTTCTAGTAGAGATTGTGAATAAACCTCTCTTCACTCTGATCCAATGACTGGTCTATCTCGCTCTGACAAGAATATATCTGACAATGGAGTCCTGTAGCTTAATGATTAGAGCATTCGCCTAGCAAGCAAGAGTACCTGGGTTTGATTCCCGGCAGGGCAAAATGTTAGCCAAGTCAATATTTGCGCTATATCCACTGGGATCTAAGTTTAAAACTGGTTAAACAACAACTTACATTTGCTCTTAAGCCTTTTATGTCAGGAGGAAGCCTCAAAGTGTTTTATACCACTGACTGGGAGCCCAAGCTGGGGCAGGAGGGATAGGAGGACAAAAATGTGGTTGCAAATGTGGCAGAAGAGATAAATTTGAGGGATGGAATTTCAGAGAGTATCGGCAGAATGGCTGAAAGCTCATCCACTGATAATGGAGTAGGGAGGGATTTGGAAGTGAGGGCAATGATCTAAAATGAAGGTGTTATAATACACTATTGAAGTCTTCAGCATGAGTGGATCTATCTTAAGGACAAATTGTGTTTGCCAGACAAAACATCTTAAAGTAGGATTTTGATCTGAACAGATCTCCCTATTATCCGTGTTTCAGTTTTTAATATTGGACGAAAGAGTAAAATGCTTGTTATATCTTTGGCCACAGGTTTTGAATTTAATAAAGTCAACATGTTAAGACACAATTATTAATTTTGAAAACATTAAGTACATTTTGCAATTGCAATGTTAAATGTGTACAATTTATATAGTTTCACAGTTTTCTGTACAATTAACATGGACAAATAAGCATATCTTTTACTTGTGTGGTTTTATTTATAACCCACAAGTATAGAATTTTAGATGAAACTGAGATGAACAGAATGAACAGCAAGACCCCAAATTAATTTAAAACAAAATTAAATAGATGCTTGAAGAGAAGAATTTTTCTGGCTCCAACATATAACTGTGTATAAAATGCCATGTTTTGAATAACACATTACTGTTTTTTAATAAAGTAAGAACATATAGGAACAATGCTCCATTTTGTTATCACTCAATGACAATGTTAGCAGCCAATAACTGTACAAATCTACAACCAACCAAGGAAAACCTATAATACAGAAGATATCAGATTCTCCATTCCTATTAGATATTTTGCATTTCCTTTGCCATGTTGCTATATTGCAGCATTTTTTTAAGTGTAACATTAGGTTGGCAGACAGCTTTCCCATAGCAGCCTGCCAGTTCTGGACACTGAAAAATGGATGACTTGCACTGCATATAAGCTAGAATTCCCCTCTCATATAGTTGGATTGGGAATTCACACAATGAAAAATTGAAGCCGAGATCCACCTCCATACATCAACTATTTAGCTTTAATTGATTTATTATAAATTTACAGTAATAAGCAATTTTGTCCCCTCCCACGCACACAAACTATAACAAATATAGTCAGAACCAGGTGCAAGGGCATTTGATGTACAGTATTATTTAAGTGACACATTAAAATCTGCTTCTACATATGTGAGGTTGAGATGAAAACCAAATTTTACTCCTCAAGAAACAATTTTCTAATTAGATGAAAATTTGTTTTTTGACCTCAAATGGACACTAAAAGGTCATTCATTTTTATTTTCATCATTCAACCAGTATAAATTTCTCTTCAAAAAGTTAACATTATTCACCTCCTTCAAAGTTAAATATAATAATAACAATAATCCTTGCATTTGCGATAGCGTCGTTCAGTTTCAACATTCCAAATCCAAATCACAGCACCTCCAATAAAGCAACACTCCCCCCACCCCAGCACATTGGAGTGTCATCTTAGACTGTATATGAGTTCCAAATCCCGCCGTGGGGCTTGAACACAAAAACCTTCTGACTCAGAAGCAAGAGTGATACCAACTGAGCCAGGCTGTGTACCCAATGACTCCAAAACACAATGGGTCTGATGGGTCTTAGGGAGCTCCTGTCTCAGTGTCTAGAACTTGAAATCGTGGAAGTCTCTGGGATTGGGCCAGTGGCTATGAGACAAAATAGTGTTTTTTTTTAATGTTCTCAACTGCTTCTCTGAGATCTCCTTATCAGAGACATTCTCATAGGAGTTGCAACTCATTGCCTCCAACAGGAGTAGCCTGGAACTGTTCCCAAATTCAACTGAGTTGCATGGAGGTAATTAATGGCTGAATCGGATTACCAAGAAGGATAGTTGAAGCAAAGGACAATGGATTTATTTAAAAAGGAGCTGGATGCTATAAGACCATAACACATAGGAGCAGCAGTAGGCCATTTGGCCTCTTGAGCCTGCCCTGCCATTTAATAAGATTATGGCTGATCTTCTAACCTAATTCCATTTACCCGCCCTATCCCCATATCCCTTAATCCCTCTATCTTTTAGAAATCTATCAACCTCAGTTTTGAATATTTTCGAAGACTGAACATCCACAGCCTTCTTGGGGTAGAGAATTCCACAAATTAACTACCCTCTGAGTGAAAAAATGTTTCCTCAACTCAGTTCGAAAAGGCTGACCCTTAATCTTGTGTCTAGGACCCCTAATTTTAGATTCTCCAACCAGGGGAAACAGTCTCACGGCATCTACCCTGTCAAGACCCTTACGAATCTTATAGGTTTCTATAAGATCACTGATAATTCTTCTATATTCTAGAGAATATAGACCTAGTTTACTCAACCTATCCTCAAAGGTCAAACCCCTCATCCCAGGAACCAACCTAGTGAATCTACGCTGCAGCCCTCTAAGGCAAGTATGTTCTTTCTTAAATAAGGAGACCAAAACTGCATACAATATTCTAGGTGCGGTCTCACTAGGGCCTTATACAACTGCAGCAAGACTTCCCTACTCTTGTATTCTAACCCTTTTGCAACGAACGCCAACATGGCATCAGCCTTGCTGTACCTGCATACTAACTTTTTGTGACTGGTGTACAAGGACACCCAAATCCCTCTGAACACTAACACTACCTATTCACACTACCTAGATGTTATGGGAGGAAGGTAGGGTATTATTCTGGATAGATGAAATCAGATGGGCTAAAGCGCTTTCTTCATCCGAACTGATCTTGTGATAGGCTTGCTTTCATATTTTGGAATGGATAAATAAGGCCTCAGCAAACATTCAGTTAAGTCCTGGAGGAAATGACTAATTACATTGGTTGAGAAAGTACTCAGTAAAAGTACTCCTCAGCTCCAAGGTAATTGTAACTTTAATTGTAACTTTAAAGATTAGAAAAATGAGATTGGAATCATAGAAATTTTTCAGCACAAGAAGGCCTTTCAGCCCATCAAGCCTATACTAATGCTGGTCCAATACATGAATCTAATTCATTCTATCCCAGTCTCTTTCCATTTGAACCCGAAGAAGTTGGCTTTCTGCAGTTTATGAAGGAGGTGGCGGCCTTCAGATTAATTAACAGGTTCAGATTAATTTATAGGTTAGAATGTATATTCTGGCATCTTACTTGATTACCTGTGAAATCAGAAGAAGTTACAGAGGTGTATTTTCTTGTGATTCTTATTTTCAATGACGTTGCCTCAGGAGATTGAATAAATGGGATAGAATCAATCACATTACAAATTATACATAATTTACAGAATTAGTGACTGTGATTGGCTGAATGGCTTTTTCTTTTTTGACAGTTTCTCATGTCCTTAATAATTCTTGTATTTGATATAGTGTCTTACATGTCGAGAGGATGTCTCAGAAACAATTTACTGTAAAGTATAGTGACTATTTATTTTGTAGGTGAACATGGCAGCTAATTTGCTCACAGCAAGGTCTCACAAACAACCATGAAGTGAATGATCATTTTTTCCCAGTGTTTGTTGGCAGAACACTGGGAGAAACTTTCCAAATAATGGCATGGGATCTTAACGGAATTTCTCCAGGCCAAAAATCCCCCAGATAAAATTGAAGTGTCCAGTTGAACAGTCAGATAAGACCTCTGTTTAATGTCTCATCCGATGGATGGCACCTTGAGTAATCCAGTGCACTCCCAACACTGCACTTGAGTGTTATCCTAGACTGTATGAGTTCAAAATCCTGGATGGGGTTTAAGTCCACAGCTTTCTGACTCAGAGGCAGGGTGATGAAAGCAACAGAGGACAAATTAATGAACCAAAAGTATAAAAATTAAGAGAGATCTAGCAAGAACTTAAATATATGAACCATATGGGGGAAAACGCCTGATTGGCAATTTAATGCCCATTAAGCAAATTAAACAA